TTTGGGAGCAGGCTGGCAGGACAGAGAAAGACTTGCTCCAAGTGTCTTTGTAATCTAGAGACTTTTAACACTTGCAAGACACTTAGATTAGGTATATATATGTAACTAATTACATGCATAATGATCAGATTACAAAATACTAAATTTAAAAATAAATTCAGTTGCTTCTGGGGGGATTAGGAGCCAAAGCTCAGGGTTCTGAAATTTGCTTAGGTATGCAGAGTTGTTTAGGTTCAAAAAGTTGAGTTGACATGTGGAGCAATTTTTTCCCTCCCTTCTTCTCTCCCTCCCTCCTCGTCTCTCTCTCTCTCTTTCTGTCTTGGAGCAGGGGAGTGAAGATTGAATATGGAACCTGACAGCTGGAGGCATTAGTGAATGTAGATGGGATTTTACTCTGATGGAATATGTGAAGTGTTTGATCTAGGAGAGTTATTCTCTTGTGTTTTTTCTCTTAGATTTTCCATTCCTTTTGATAGGGAGGCAGGCTAAGACATGTAAGCTGTGTTCCTAGGTGGTGCTTAGAGAAGCCTTACCTGCTGCCTGGAGTAGCTCCCTCCTCCCTTACATCTAGAAACAGAAGAACTCAATCCCATTTTCACATGCCACTGTAACCTTCTGTTTTTACATCTCTGCCCCACAATTTCTCGTGTCTGCTCTCTCTAAGTGTGTCAGAGTTCAAGGAACTCCTCCCTGAGAACTGCTTTCAGAGAGGGCTAGTCTACTGTCCAGGACAGTGTCTCAAGTGACACTTGGGAAGTTATTATGATACCACTTACTGAGTCATTTTATAAGGGCATCTAGAAGCAGTCCTGCATGTTTTGTACCAATCCATCTGCCTGAACTCAGGGAAGTGCTAAGATGTTTTCAACCATGGGTGGTTAGAAGTTGCTGATGCAGTTTTCTCCTGTAAGGTTACACTGGGAATATCAGCCACTCCAGGGCAGACCTCATGTTCAGGAGTAGTTGACCATCATACAATGGACTCCACAATTTTTTTTTTTTTTTTTTTTTTTTGTGTGTGTGTGTGTGTGTGTGTGTGTACGAATGCAAGTGCTTTTATTTGGTTAAAGTTAGGTGTTTTATTTTTTCTTTTGGGGAGTGGTTTTATTTTGTTTTCTTGGTTCTGGGGAGTTTTATTGTTGCACTGGTGTGGTAGTTTGAACTTAATCTCAGGGAGTGGCACTATTAGGAGGTGTGGCTGTGTTGGAGTAGGTGTGGCCTTCCTGCAGGAAGTGTGTCACCATGGGGGTGGGCTTTGAGGCATCATATATGCTCAAGCCACACCCAGTGACACAGACCACTTCCTGTTGCCTGCAAGATATAGAACTCTCACCTACCTCTCCAGCACCATGTCTGCCTGTACATTGCCATGTCCCACCATGATGATAATGGACTAAACCTCTGAACTGTAAGCCATTCTTAAGTAAATGTTTTCCTTTATAAGAGTTGCTGTGGTCATGGTATCTCTTCATAGCAATAGAAACCCTAACTAAGACAATTGGGTTTTTATAGGGAGGGGGAGAAGATCTGGAAGGACTTTGGGGAAGGGAAGAATATGATCAAAATATATTAAATTTAAAAATTATTTTAAATAATAAAAAACATAATATCACTAATGTTGTTGTTGATGATGATGATAATAATAATAATAGTAATGAAGTTGCTGGTGCAAAAACACAGCTCTTCCCTCAAAAGAGATATGAGATAGCTTTTTCTGGTGGATGCAGTTTCAGAGTTCCCCAAATACTGTTTTCCAAGGTGCTAACAGTTTCATTTCATTTTAGAGTAACAGAACAGAGAAAGTCATAAATTAATGTTGCATGGATTCTAAATGGTCTTATAATGAAAAAACCTGGAGCTAGATATTGGAGTAAATGCTGAAAGATCAGAGAGAAAAAGGAACAAACCACAGCTACTTCTTACCTTGCCAACTCCACAAATCTTCTGATTGTCTCTGAGTCCTCAGCCGAAAGGGGTCCAGCTGGAAAGGGATTCAGCTGAAAAGCCTTTAGATCCTGTCTCCTCATGCCTTATATAGCTTTCTCCGCCCAGCCATATTACTTCCTTCCTAGTTCTGGGATTAAAGGCATGTGTGCTTCCTAAGTACTTGGATTAAAGGTGTTTGCCACCACTGTCTGGCTCTGTTTCTCTCCTAGAATCAATCTCCTGTAGTCCAGGGTAGCTTTGGACTCACAGAGATCCAGATGGATCTCTGCCTGCTGAGTGCTAGGATTAAAGGCGTGTGCCACCACAACCGGTGGCACACGCCTTTAATCCCAGCAGGAGGCTGAGGCAGGCGGATCTCTGTGAGTTCGAGGCCAGCCTGGTCTACAAAGTGAGTTCCAGGAAAGGCGCAAAGCTACACAGAGAAACCCTGTCTCAGAAAAACCAAAAAAAAAAAAAAAAAAAAAAAAAGGTGTGTGCCACCACTGCCTGGCATCTATGTTGAATCTAGTGGCTCCTTCTGTTCTTGGATCTTCAGGTAAATTTTATTACGGTACTACAAAAATATCACGACGAATTAAGGTTCTTTAAAATGACACTAGTGTGGTCTGGGGCAACGGCTCAGTTGGTAAAGTGCTCACATCGTGAAGCGAGGGGCTGAGCTTGAACCCCAGAACACGTGTGAAGAAGCCGGGCATAGCAGTGTACGGACACTCTAATCCTAGACTTAGGAAGGCAGAGACAGGCAGGTCCCTGGGACTTCCGGCTGGCTGGCCTTGGTGACTTCCAGGCCAGTGAGACACTCTGTCTTAAAAAGTTAAAAGACAGATGGCCCTAGAAGAATGAGACCCAAGATTATCTTTTGACCGCTATATGTACACAAACACGTATGCTTACACGCCTGTGCACAAACATGCACACACAGACACACACAGACACACACAGACACAGACACAGACACACACACACACACACACACACACACACACACACACACACACACACAAAACCAGGTGTCAGTGAGGAACTCTGTTACAGGCTGCAGGTGCTGCCTGATGACTTCCTTAACTTTGGGGTAGTTGGAAGCCAGGGATCTATTTGTTCATTGCAGAAGGATTTTACTTTGGTCGTCACAGGCTATGGAGTCAAACAAATGGCTATCATGGGGCCCGAAGAAGGCCGCAGGTAATGTGTCTCCTAACTTGTGGCATCTCAACTCTTCCCAGTCACAGAAATACTTTATTTCAGCCAATCAGCTTTGTAGAGTATTTAACACAGACGTGGATTTTTAAGTGGGAATTTCAACTCCCAGTGACTACATCCTTGTAGTCTGGACAGCATCCTTGTCTGGTGTGACTCATGGTGTTGTTACAGGGGTGGATCTGAGTCTGGAGAGCAGCCACTCAACTTCCCAGGTTCTTATGCCTCGTTGTTTAATTATATTTTTTGAGATTATATCATAATTAAGATGTCCCTTCCCTTTTGTCCATTAGGCCCCTCCATACACCTCTTCCCACTCTCCTTCAAACTCACGGCTTCTTTCTCTCACTAAATGTTATTTCATAGATATATGAATTTGGATATACATCTGTATTACTAAAAATAACTGGTTCAGTCCATAGAATGTTAGTTACTTCTATGTCTGTTTTCAGGGCTGACCACTGGGCACTGGACAGTTTGTGCTTTTCCCTGGGGAAGACCATCTCTTTCCACTCCCAGCATTCCTCAGTTGCCTATGGTTCCTTACATAGGGTTGAGGCCTTGTGGACTTTTTCCATCGAGTTTGGCATGGTCAGTTGGTGTTGTCCTTGTTCAGCTCACATTTGGGCAGTCATGCTGGTGAGACTTAATGAGCGTAGCTTCTGATGTTATAGGAGATACAATCTCACAGTGAACTCCCCAATCCTCTGGCTCTTACAAACTTTCTGCCCCCTCTTCCTTAATGTTCCCCGAGCCTTACGTGTGAGAGTATTGTGTAAGTGTATCCATTAGGACTAGACTCCACAACTCTGCGTGCTGACTGGTTGCAGTTTTCTGTCTATTGCAAAGAGAAGTTTCCTTGATGAGGGGTGAGGACTACACTTATCTGTGGGGATAAGGACAGATGTTTAGATTATTTATTGTCAGGGAGTATGCTGGTTTAGTAAATGAGTGGTTATGATTTCCTCCAATAACTATGATATTACCAGCCCTGAGTAGTTAGTTAGCTGGGTTTCCAGCACCAGGCACAGTATCCCTCTTGAGTACAAGCAAAATGAGACAGATAGGCAGACAGACTCCATCTCAACAGGTTGAGACTACTTTATTGGAATAGCAAGGGGTCCCAAACTTTTAACAGGATGAAGGTTTAATGCATTTACAGATCCCAGGGGACGTGTGTGTGTGTGATGTGTGTGTATACACACACATCACACACACACACACACACACACACACACACACACACACACACGCTTATATAAGGTAGCTACCAGGAAGGTACAGCTGTTCTTTTGTGTTTGGGCTGGGTTATTTTTCATACTGGGGAATTTTCCTTCTGCAGGTGGAGCGGAACAGTCTGGGGCCAAGCAATTTTTCATGGCTAGGGACTGTCGCCCAGTGTAGCCTGACTCAATTCCTCTTGGCCGGAGCTATTACCCAGCACTGAAAGGTCTTAAGTTCAATTAGAGAATTGTTGGTTACCAAGATAAGTGTGCCATTACTGTACCAGGAGGGTTACCATGCCATGCTGATCTGTTGATGTGGCTCCTGGTGTCATAAGGAATTGCACACAGACACATAGGCAGTTATGGGAAAGGGGATAATTAGCTAAAGGAGAATGACAGAGGAACTTAGAGGTATGCCAGACTTTGCCTGTGACCCAACCATAGGCTTTAAGAGGGCAAAAGGGAAGGACAGAGACTATGTGATTTTTTTTTTTTTTTTTTTGTGGGTCACTTATATAGTAAGCCTCTCTCAATTTCCTAAAGTGTATTTTTTTCTAAGCATGCTCCAGCAGTTGAAAGAAGTCCCGGCAGGCTGAGGGCTGCCACATGCTAATATACCAAATATGCTAAGCCCTGGAATCTCTTCCTCCGCCCAGCCCTCTTCTCAGGTCTCAATGATGCTGACCATCTTGCCCATGGAGCGGCTGGCATCTTCTTCCTTAATGGATCCTCTTCCTGCTGTGTGAGTCACGTAAGCTCCCCGCACTAGGTTTTCTGCTTTCTTGTGTCCCACTCTTTTTATGCAGTGGCTTCCTCTTCTTTCATCTGTCTGAAAGGAAACAAAAACATTCGCAACTCTTCCTTCTTGTCTTTTATGGTTTGTCTCTGTGACCAAAGACAGAGAAGACCAAAGAGAACTCACGTGCATGTCTCATACATGTAGGTGAAACCTGGAGCTCTGAAGCTCGAAGGGGTGGTTGAAACTTGGGTTTGAATTTCAACAAAGGAGAAGGAGCTTTGGGGTTGCTGGGGAGGGGAGCCAAGCTAGGGAAGGGAACCAGGAAGAGAACAGACAGTAAGTTTTGCTTTGCACAATTTTTCACATTACTAAGAGTCTCCAGGGATTGAGAGAGGGTTACCCTTAGGAGGAGAGATTTCTTTTATAAATGTAGATTTCCCTTAGGAGTTTTTCTGGTATCTGCTGTTTCTCAAAATCATCAGCTTTAGAGGAAGCTTGTGTCCATTACACACCCCGAGGCTGTCTATCCTGGTCTTCTAGGTCCCCAGTGCCTTTCCGTTCCTTTAATCCCCCTCCTGTGTAGTCTCTCCTCTTCTTGTTTGCCGTGAGGGGGGCTCTGTGGCCTCTCCTAAGGAAATCAGGAGTCAGTCTGTACACCAAACAAACTCCCTGTTTCTGGGAATTTCTGCTTTTTAGAAGCAAAACTGGGTAGCTCTCTTTTACTTCAAAACGTCCAAAGTCACAGCTGGTGACAGAGCCTGCAGGGAGCAGCTGCCTCAGTTCAAAGACTGTATGCTGATCAGCACCCTGGAGAGACCAGAGAAAATAGACCTCAGGGCTCTTAACCCTCCACATGGGGGTGATATTTCCCATTGTCCGTTTAAATTTTGATGAACAGCAGAGAGTGGCCGAACACTTGGCTCGCTGAAGAATGACAGCGCCAGTGTAAAATTGATAGAGAAGGTGCTGTTTTTGTTAACTGAGTTTTAGGACAAAAGCCCTCCCTCTTGGAGTCCCAACGGACTAGGCTTGGCGGCTCATCCCAACTGGCCAATTACATGAGCTGTGAGGAGTAGAGAAAGGAGATTTAAGGTCGATATGAGGGTCCAGTGGGTACCCACTGGGTGTTCCAAGTCCTTGTGTCCCAGAACAAGGGATTAGTGAAAAAAAAAAAATTCAGGACATTTATATCCTGGTGTTTTGGACATTTACATTCCAATATGCCGGCTTGTCCCGGCAAACTTCCCTGTGCATTCTCTATTACCAGCCTCTGTGGGTGAAGGTTTCTAATCTTTCTGCAAATTAGTTGTTTTCATATGCTCTTTCAGCCTAATTTTTCTCTTTACTCTCCTTCCATAAGGTACCACTGATGGGAAGAAGAACCACTAAAGGGGCTAGAGTCCCAAGTCCCTCTGCGAGGTACTGAAGTGAGCTGTAGGTTTAAGTAGAGAAAGAACTGAGGTGGAGTCTGAGATGGGTGCATATTAGGTAACCTTGATCAAAGGGCGGTCTAGCTGATCATTACTTCAGTTCTGGATCTGCAAAGTGGTCTGAGGCAATCGTTATCATGGTCATGGAGTGAGAGGGGGCCATCTGTTCCATAGGTGATTGCTTCTGCTCTGGCATGCAGCCTGGCCCTTGGGGCTCACTGCCCTTATTTGGGGGCAGTGGTCTGCTCTGTGAGGCTTTGCTCTTTCTGGAACTCAAAGTTGCTGGAGGTTTAGAACTGTGACTCTTATTTTTATGTCTTCAGCCTTGAAGGAGGAATGAGATGGTCTAAGCATTACTGGTGTTGAGACTCTTTGAGTGATTAGCATACCTACAGCAGAGTCATGTAGGGGACTCATGGAAAAAGAGACAGATACAAGATGGAGGCAGAGATGCCAGGCTTTGCCCCGGTATGTTTAGTTACATTGTAGGCTCAAGTGAAGGGTCAGTGCATTTCTACAAAAGCCATTTCTAAGTTGTTATGCCTGACAGAGTCTTCTACCACCACAGCCGTGAACAGTCTTGGCCAAAACGAATGAAGAGTAAATGACTCCTCAGTAAGGATAGGAAATCCCAGTCTTGTTGTGGGACATGTAACTATGTAAAGATGTGCTACATTTGTTTCTGCTGTGGAATATTACTTTAACTATGTAAAGGTTAAAGTGTTACATTTGTTTCTGCTACCTTTGTTTAATGGTACAAGGATGTGTTACATTTGTGTAGTGGGTAGCCATTCCAGCTTTGATCTGGAAGTTCCAACCCCCATTGAGACTTCGGCAACTGTCACGCCTACAAGGCGGGGCGAAGGGAGGCGCCGGGGGACCCGAGATCTGGATCGGCAGGCGCTCTCTCTGTTGCGGGACCCTGGACTGGAGAGGTGAACCGAGCAGAGCTCCAGAGAACACCGCTGGACTGTGATACACCTTCCCCAGACTCCGCGACCTTCCTATTCCTTAATTTGTAAGTTACGCCATTAAATAAATCTCCTTTTAACTACGTGGAGTGGCCTTAATAATTTCACCAATACATTTGTTTTTGCTGCATTTGTTTAATTATGAAAAAATGTATTGCTGTTTCACCTTGCCTGCCTAAGGGATCTGATTGGTCTAATAAAAAACTGAACGGCCAATAACCAGGCAGAGAAAGGATAGGTGGGGCTGGCAGACAAAGAGAATAAATAGGAGGAGAAATCTGGGCTCAAAAAAATGAGAGGGAAAAGGAAAGAAGAGAATGGGAAGGAAGAGAGGGTCAGGCCCAGGGCAGAAGCCAGGCAGCCACCAGCCAGACTCATGTCTCCATAGACAGCAGGAAAGTAAGATATACACAAAGAATGAAAGGTAAAAAGCCCTGAGACAAAATGTGGATATAAAGAAACAGATTAAAATGAGAGCTAAGCTAAGGCTGAGCATTCAAAAGTAACAGTAAGTCTTTGTACCATGATTTGGGAGCTGGTTGGTAGCCCCAAAGAAAAAGCCTGGTACACTGTCTGTCAATATAGGCAGAGCCCTGATCCCAGATGAAAAGATTTGGTTCTAGTCTCAGCCTTGGCTCTAATCAGAGCCACATTGTGGGTTTGATTTTCTACCACCTCTCTCTGAACTCAACCATTTTCATTTTCATATTTAGGATGATTATATAATGTCCTAAAGGTTTTTCTTCTCAGCAACTCATACCAACTGTTAACTGAAGTTCCCAGAAAGAAGCTGGGCTTACCCTGAACCTTCTACAAATAACTAAATAGAAAGTCAATGATTGTGGAGAGTTGCAATGTTGTAGGTCTAGAGCCAAATTATATAGGACTGTCTTAGCCTCTTTAGTTATTGCTCATCTCTATGTATGACCTAGCATCCTGGTGACTACTGGGTAAATCCTTTGGAGTATACAAACAGACTTGGTAGTTAAGAACGCCATTGGGTAGCATCTGAGGCCTATAACATGAATTTGTTTGCTTTCCTATGACCTACCTGAGGTACACACCAATTTATTTGAAGAGTGTTTTGATTCACCACATTCTTTTTAATCTTGTTATTATTAAAATGTCATGTAACTGCTAGCATGTTGGAATACAGAATATAGACCAACCTAAATCCCTGTTCCTGAGCTGTGTATTTTATATCGACACCAACAGAACCCAACTGAGGCCCAAGGATAGCCTTTGAAAACTGGCGCTCACAAGATCCATTTGGCGGGACGGGCATTGAGCAGCAGTACTTGAGAGCTGGCCTCATCAAAGGTTCTTATTATTAAGTCGGACTAGAACATCCTTTCTCACAAGTCCTTGGAGTAATGGATTCAAAGAGCTTAAACAACTTCAGAAACAGAGACTTCAAAGGATGAAAGACAGCACTGGGGCTTTGTCTCCTGTCTTTTTATCTACCACCCCCAAATTAAAAGCCAGAAGCTTGACTCGGCTAGCAGACACGCGGCTGAAACAAAGATCACAGACCATCAAGGGTAAATGCCTCCACACTGTAGGCCAGTTGATGGAAAGGTCAAGATTATGGACTTGTTAGAGAAGAGAATGGATGGGAAATATGTCTTTAAATTACAGGGTAAGTGAAGAGTTGGTCTTCTTTGACCCAAGTAGTGTTTCAATTTCTGATAAAACTAGCAGTAACAATGTAACTATGGTGTAAGCTTTATTGAGTGCTGCTGGCTAGTGCAGTACTTCCTGCTTTGTGTATTTGACCTTCACAACCACTCTGTGGAGTGTCTTGTGTTATTTACCCATGTTGTCAAGGTGAGTGCATTAGTGTCACCGTTTGTGTGCCTACCAGCAGGTGGAATCTGTAGCCATGTGGTCGCGGGAGTGTTGTGCTGCTTTGTGGGGTTATTTTGTGCCTTGTCCATCTCCGGAGATGGCACTTTGCATGTTGTATTTTGCTTTGGTGTTTGTAATACATGCCAAGTAGCCACAGCCTCATTCAACACTGCCTTTATCATTTTACTGTAGAAGACCAAATAGGTCACTCCAAATATGCCATTTTGGCCCAAGGATTATTTTGAGCAAAGGCAATCGAGAAGAAACAGATACAAAATCAGCCCTCTACCGTCTCTCATTCACAAGGGTAAAAGCATCCCTCCTCCTCTTTCTACCAGAAAAGCCTGACTATGGGAGACAGCTCTTGATCTTCATCAGCCTCAAGTGGCAGCTGAGGACTGGTCTATGACTGGTCTTCACTTCCTCATCCTTACAGTTTACTGCCTGCTGAGAATCAACATCCTTTCCCTTTGTCTTCTCAAAAATCTTAACTCTAAATCACCCTCTTTGAGAAGTACCCATTCCCTGGGAATCTTTCAAGTATACATGGAATATGAATATTAATAAATTCTGTTTGTTTATCTTGTTACCACGGACCATCAGAGCTAAGAGCTACGAAAGACAGAGATAAATGGCTTTCCCTCCACTGTACTCTATAACCTCTAGTAAGCACTTTTCAACTGTCTTTTCTAGAATCTTGGCTGATAAGCTTTGGGTCTGAAATACCTCTCCCCACTTCCCACCTAAACTCTAATGGGTTGAAGGTGATCTCCAACGTATCCATGTTTAGAGGTGGGGCTTTGGGGAAGTGATTGGGTCATGAGGCTCTGACATAATCAATGATTTTATCCATTGATGAGTTAAAATGGAATGGACTCTTGGGAGGCCGTGGGAACTCTAGAGGTGGGTAGCACCTATTTGGAGAAGTATGTCCCCAGGGAAAACCCTCGTAGGAGACACATCTTGTCCCTGGTTTTTTCTCTCTGTCTTTGCCTCCTGGCTGCAGGGAAGCAGGCACCCTCTCCCACACACACACCTGATGCTGTGATTTCTGCTTTGCCCCAGGTCCAAAGCAAGGAAACCATGTGCCCAAACAGGCCCTTCCTTCTTTCATCTGTTTCTCTTAGGCATCTTGTCATAGCAGTAGAAATGAAGCTAAAGGCACTGGGCTGCATGGAAATGTTCTGGGGTTTGCTCAGGCTCATCTTTCAAGCAGAGAAAGCATGTCAGGGCTTTGGCAGGGACCCTGTCTTCCTGCAACCTTCACTTTAAGGTTTATGAATAACCTTTTATTTTATTTTATTTATTTATTTGTTGTCTTTTGAGACAGAGTTTCTCTGTGTAGCTTTGGAGCCCATCCTGTATCTCACTCTGTAGACCAGGCTGGCCTCAAACTCACAGAGATCCACCTGCCTCTGCCTCCCGAGTGCTGGGATTAAAGACCTTTTTTTAAAAAATTGAATTCAAGTCTCCCCCCTCCTCTTCTGTCTCCAAATTATATCTTCATCTTTATTTCTAATGTAATTAGAATCTGTTCCAGAAAGCTAAATCTGCAAGTGTTTCTGGCTGTTTTAGCAGAAAATTCATTGTATTTTTAAAAACTATAACCCAAATGGGAAACAGCCTGAAGATGGGATTTCATCACAGTTCCCATCCAACCTACATCTCTAATCCCACCGATCTATTTGTCCACTAACACTCTGATTATATCAGGAGGCGCTGGAGCGGGCAGGACCAAACTAGTGTAATTGGCTGGGTGTGACTTGGGTGTGGCTTGCTTGGGTTAGTCCTCCCTGAAAACATTGTGCTTGATTTGTAGATGAAAGAAAAGCATGGTCTTCTCACATTTGTTCTTGGGTTGTGTTTGGACTCCAAGTGTGCAAGTTGATGTGGTGTGTTCTGTAGACCAGGAGTTTCAAACTGGAAAGTCCAGAAGGAACAACTGGGTGATACAACCAGCTGAAGGACACCGGGAATGAGTGAGGGGTGCAGAGGGCAGGCTCCCTCCCAGTTCACTGTCTCTTGACACTGGATGTTCAACAAAACACCTGCTACAATTTTTAAAAGGATCCAGAAATTTACACGAAATTTCTCTAATCTTGAATATCAGTCACTAGTTTCAAAAAGCATTAGCCTCCTCCATCAGATTCTCCCACTGCATGACATTGCCCGAGTCCAAAGTAGTGGAGTCAGCCAAGCACAGACTGAAATCTCCAATGCCAGACACCATAGAAACCTTTCCTCCTTTAACTTATTTTCCTTGGGTCTTTTGTTACGGTCATAGAAAATTAAGACACCAAAGTTGTGTGAAAATGTATTAAGGATTGGCAAGGGTCACTCTTCAAGTAGTTTTCTAGCCATTGAGTTCCTATGCTGTAATCCATGTGTGTTAGAAGCCAGAAGGGAAAGAGTTGAGCTGTGGGCTCAGCAAATTTCCTGCCAAGGAGAACTGGCAGGTTTTCAGCCATAATCCCCAAAGATCAAACAAAACGTAGAATTGGCACTTTAGGCCTTCCTTTTTGCAACTCCTGTTCTGGAATTTTATTGTGTGAAGGTCAGACCAGGACTGGAATAAACAAGAGGAAGGCATTAGACCTTCTGAGACTTTAGAGGACATTGGGTGATGTCCTGGCAGGTCTGACTTCCATCACAATGAACTGTGATGCCTGTGGCATCTGTGGTGAAGGTGAGGTGGGGTTCCTGCTCCATAGCGACCTTGGGTTTTCTTCTAGTTCCATTGGCTCTATGCTTCTATGCCACCAAGAAAAATACTATGGGAGTTAAACGAAGAAACAGGTTCCATCTACTCATGAGTCAGGCTCATCAAACAGCTCCTTAAGGTATCTTTAAAAGGAAGGTTTTTAAAAAGCAGCTGCTCAGGCTTCTAAGAGGAAAATAACCTGAGCAAGAGAAAGGACTCAATGGTCCTAATGTTATGGTGTGGAAAAACTGAGACACAACAAAGAGGGAGAATTTAGAGAGAAAAAAGCTTGGGCAGGAAAAAGGCAGGAATCTTGGAGGAAGGAGTAGTGAAGTAAGTTGTAGAGAGGGATAGGAATGTCAAGTTCAGGCAACCCTAGTTGATAGATTGGATATTGGTTGTTCTCAGTTTACTTAATAACGCTAGTGTGGCTTCTTAGGGCTTTACAAGTACTTGTCCAATGAATTCTCATATCATTGCCACAAGGCAGCTGCAAACAGTGATACTAACTATATTCATTATTTTTAAAATTTATTTTCAAGCTCATCATCATCATCATCAACATCATCAGTGTGTGTGTGTGTGTGTGTGTGTGTGTGTGTGTGTGTGTGTGTGTGTAGCGGTCAGAGGAAAACTTTTTTTTTGAGTAGATTCTTTCCTTCCACTGTGGGATCCAGGAAAGAACTCATGATCAGGCAAGTGTCTTTAATCATTAAACCATCTACCAAGCCCTAATTATACTCATTATTATAGTACTTTTGTAGATGACAAAACTGACAGTTTTATTGTCTAAACATTTGTGAGGATCTCACAACGGTGGAACAGAACATAATGACCTCTGGCTAGAGGGACGGCAGAATGCTGGTACAACTCGAATTGAGAGAAAGCTGCCTTGATAGACACACAGGTCACCACACAAGGGGAGGCTAACAGCAAGCAGGATGAGACAGGCTGGGTTTTTCAGGCTTCTTTCGGGTTGGATATTCTGATGATTCTGGAAGCTCAAAAAGGAAGGGACCACATTCTTAAATGTTTGATATCTGTCAGTCGAGCATGCAATGTAAGCCAGCTGTGTTAGAACCCAGTAAGAAAAATAGTTAGCAAACTGCTCCTAAAGGAGACTGAGATATTTTTAGTCATAATTCCCGAACCAGTCAAGGAAGCTCTTATGAAATGCTGCCTTGAGACACAGAAAGATCTGGGAATACAAGGATCACTCACTGGTAAGTGGCAGAGACAGAATTCAGCCTTAGATGGTCTAATTCTAGATTCCACAGCAGCAAAGAAGGAACAAGACCAGGTTAGAGAGGCACTTGGACTTCCTCTGGTCAAATGAAACATTGTGAGAGAGGAACACAGATGGGTGACAAGGACAAAGTTGTAAGAGAAGGCTGTGTGAGTTGAAGAAAGAAACTTGGTTGCAAAGAAGCCGTCACTGTTGCCTCGCTGTCTGCTATTTTTATGTCCACACAACTGTTTTGTTTTGTAACTTTGTTTTGTGGCCCCTTCTTCCACTAAAACATGTATGGTTTGTCCTGCTACATTGGAAAAATGCCACATCAATGTAGATGCAATTTTTTTTTTCAGACGAAGGAAAGGGACTTTTACAAATAAGTCAGTATCTAATGTTTAAACTTCCTGTTTAAGAAACCTGAGCAGCCTGCAAGCAGGTGAGAGATCTGCCTCCAGACTGCAACACCACCTCTGCCACCCACGGGCCTCTGTCTCTCCCAGACCCACTCTGCTACCCAATCACACATACCTATACATCCTCCCGGTGGCCAGCCCTCCTCCACAACCCCAGCCGACTGCATAGGCACAGGTGCAAACCACACCAGTTGGAAAAACAGGTGAGTAACTGGCCTCCCAGCTTGACTGCCTCAAAGTCCAGACCCTAAACCCCAAGGCACATCCCATGTCCCTCTCCGTCCCATCCCAGGACCAGCAAGGCAGCTGGGCCCTGCCCCCAACTCTGGTGGAATTCCACTGCTCTGGTGCAGTTCCCATCAGCCTGTAAGTAGGTGAGAGACCTACCTCCAGACTGCACCACTACCCCTGCTGCCTTCTGGACTCTGTCCCTTCAAGAGCCACTCTGCTGCCCAGCCCTACGCACCTGAACATCCTCTCCATGGCTAGCCATCCCCTGCAACCCCAGCAGACTACATAGGCACAGGTGCAAACCACACCAGTGGGACGAACAGGCACAGAGACAACACACACCAGTGGGAAGAACAGATGAGTAAATGCCAGTGTAAGAATACATTCAATAACCAAAAAAAAAGCACAATGGCACCACCAGAACCCAGTGATCCTACAGCAACAAGACCTGAATATTCCAATGCAGATGAAACACAAGAAAACGACCTTAAAAATAACTTTATGAAGATGATAGAGGCCCTTAAAGAGGAAATGAAAAATTCCCTTAAAGAAATTGAGGGAAAGACAAACAAAAAATTGGAAGAAATCAATAAATCCCTTAAAGAAGGTCAAGAAAGCCAAGAAAAAACAATCAAACAGGTGAAGGAAATGATTCAAGACTTGAAAATTGAAATAAAAACAATAAAGAAAATGCAAACTGA